ACCTTGCCGGGCTGGGCATAAAGTAGAACTACATGTAACCCTTGATTGATGCACACCAGAGGAGACTTAGTCTTTGCCAGTCGTTAATCTCTTCAAACAAAGATACTGCAGAAAGAACACAGATTTTCAGCTTACAAGAACTAGAGCAAGGAACCAACATCCGCATTTATACAAATCTGAGACAAGCTTTTTGGGATGGAAGTAATATGATTTTCAAGAAATGATTGTACATCTTGGACCATATAGAGTTTGAGACAAAACATCCTTTCACAATTAAGCAAATCTTCATTTTGGAACTGGCGCCGCTTGCTGGAAGAATGACATGTACCAGTAGGCTGAGGAATGCCCCTCCACGTGCTTTTGCTTCCCTCAGCTGCGATCACAATTGCCTCCTTCTCTATGTTGGCTTCGCCCCTGATCCTTCCGGCACCACCTCTGAAGGGCAACACATCCAGTGCTATAGTTTTTGCACTAGAGATTTAGGACACTGAAATCAGTTAAAAACTTAAAATAGATTAGTTATCAGAGCAAAAGAAATCTACCACAATACAGTAAATAGTTACCCTCGTAGCTCCAAACAATTGGCAAACAGAGAAGCAAGCCGGCTGAATTATCCATCAACAACTCTTTGTTGTTTCTTGAAGTTCTTTGCACTCGGGGCCAGCTGATCCTAACTCTCCAATCCGCAAAATGTAGACCATAGAAACATCAGAAAGTTCTTGCATAGCTCGAGCTCCACGATACCGTTTATCTTGGCTGTCCACTCGCGTTGGGATCCGTGCATCACATGACCACTTCTCAGTGCACCAGCGCTTGGCTTTTGTGATTAACAGAGAAGGCACAGTGCATACGTTGTCCTGTTCCGCATGCATGTGCTTTCTAGAGAGAGAGATGAGAGAGCTTGTGCATGCATGTCAGAGTGTCAGACTGCATCTGAAAGAGAGAAAGCGTGAGGAGAGGAGCTTGTGAGAGATAGCGTGCTGTGCATGCATGTCATGTCAAGGTGAGAGAGAGAATCGGAGTGTGAGGAAAGAGAGATGTGTTGACTATTGTGGCAGCTGTTCCTATTAGAGAGAGAGAAGAAGAGCAAGAAAATGAGAGAGAGGGGGGGAGATTGAGACGTGTGATGGAGCAGAAATGGGAAGGAGGAGGGAGAAGAATAAAATAAGATAGAAGATGAGATATGTGAGCGAGCGAATGGGGAGGAGGGACAGAGAACAAGAAAATGAGAGACAGCCGAGATTGAGACGTGCGAGGGAGCAGAAATAGGAAGGAGGGGGAGAAGAATAAAATAAGAGAGAAGATGAGATATGTGAGCGAGCGAATGCAGAAGAGGGAGAGAGAATAAGAAAATGAGAGAGAGGCGACTGAGACGTGCGACAGAGGCTGCTGTACAGTCTAGAGAGAGAGAACGTGGGGAGACAACAAAGGTACAGTTGCTACAGTAACCTGTTGTGAACGGTATAGATAGAGGATACCGAGCTTGGAAAACCCGCACTCTAGAAACATGTCAACTTAGGTGCAGTCTAAAACGTAAGCTTTGTAGTAACATAAATAAGGATCTAGGCCTGCAGTACACTAACCTTGTGAAAAAAGTCCTGGTAATTGAACTCTAGGGCTTCCATCCATAAGATCATAAGCATATCACCCTTTAGCAAATTGCAGCTAACATATATTTCAGTTACTATAATCTGAACATATATTCCAGATATCAGAAAAGAAACATACACTAAAATGCATCTTGATTGCCTACTATATTTCGACTGCATTGACATGCAATGGCTGCAAGGACACGCTCCAATTCTCTACGAAAGAAGAAATGAAGAAAAACAATAGTCAGATTGATACACATAAGTACAGAGTTATTAAGAAACAAACAAGGGTACAAGTAAAAGAGCGGGGGGCATCCATCAATAGTTTGAGCCACATTTTCATCTGACTGCATTGGTGAATGCCATGTCATACAAATTCTTAAGGCCTTGTTCGTTTAATCCCGTCCCCGCCGGGATTGGGTCAAAACCCGGCCGAACCGTGTGGTTTTAGCCCCGGCCGGGGTTGGATCCCGACCTCCCTCGTATGCACGTTCGGTTGGACCCGGCCGGGTTCATACCCCGTTCAAATCCACTCCGAACCGCCGGGTTTTCGCCGGGATTTAACCCACGCCTCGTCACGCGCGGAACGAAACCGCTCAGCCGAGCCCGTCGAAACAGAAAAGGAGAAGAAGGCGAGAGCGGCGTAGGCGGCGGTGGGCCTGGACGGCGGAGCAGGGGCCGAAGCTCAACGGCCACTACAGCCTACTCCGGTCTTCCTCCCCAACATCAGGCCGGTAAGATCCTCTCTCCCCTTTTGATTTCTAGGGTTCCCATCCCCTTTTCCACCGCTGACCATGGTCGTCTTTCCGACGAAGCTCCACGGCTCATCTCTGCTTGCTGCAACTCCCATGTCCAATTGGTCGATGGATCTATCTCTGGAACTAGTGAATTGAATGATTTGATTCTTTGAAATATTATATTTGCTCCATTGGCAAGACTGCAAGAGGTCTAACCGAATGGCATTCTGTGACAGAGATTTTGGTGTGGGAATGAAGTGGGGATCGGGTGACGGGGTGGGAGTCACCCAATCCCTGGATGGATTGAAGCCACTAGGGGATTGCATCTCCACCAACCGAACAAAGCCTAATGTATAATGTATCCATCAGGACTGCAACAGGCACATGCTTCAAGTTTACGGTATTAAGCATGTATGAAGTTATGATTTAACTTGCTTCACTGCTTTCCTTTAATGAATTAACACACTGCTATGATAAAATTCTAAATGCAATCGATTTTTACATCAAACTCTAATGATTGAAGGTCAGTACGACACTAACTTTCTCCGAGAAACATTAACATTAGAAATGACAATACCCCTACCAGAAAGGTTGCTAAGATTTCTAAAAAAATATGCACATCGGGAGCAAAATTAAAACACTGACACAGATGAAGTACAATTAGATTCCGATGAACTGCGGAGTAGAGAGAGGAGGCAATTGGAAGCTGTCGCAAGTCGGCCTCTTTTAGCCAAGCTGACATGAAAAATATTATGGGTTTACAGCTATTTCGATTGATACAAAAATGAGCTTTTCAGGACTGGAATACAAAAACTTTGATCACAAATCCTGTGGAATAGGGTTTATATCCAGAGGAAAGTCTTTCTAGAAAGGATGATGGCCCATCTCTTGTGAGCGAACTCGACTCCCATCCCCTAAGCACACATGGTCATCAGAGGTATTTCTTCGTTACCAGTAAGTCCTGCCATTTTAGTTAACTTGTGCATCCTACCATTTTAGTTACAGAATTAAATACACGCACAGGAATGATGAGAGTTTTGAAAATGCTAAAAGAGGAATCAGCTAGCAGTCCAAACAATCACAACTTATAAGGGGAACTGTTTTATCATTTACGCTGGGCAGAACAAGTCAAGGTCAATGGTACAGTTGGGCTTCCATATCATCATAGGCCAGACAAACCTGATGAAACATATAAACACGCAAGTGTATGACATAGATTTACTGCATGAACTGCAACACAATGTCCTTTATCATTGCCAACAAAGCGACCAAATCTTAATGAAACCTAGGAGGAAAAATCACTGCAAGACTTCAACAGGGTTGTGTCTTACTGAAAACAACAAATAGTTGGCAGTTGAACAATGATGCATCTTTAAGGTCCTCCAACAAAATCAATTTTTACCCCCGGGAGCCTTTCCATAACCCTGCATTGACAAGGAAAATAAGTAGAGCATTAACAACACGGCAAAATGACACATAGCAAACATTGATGTATGATAGGTTGAAGTACGGCCAGCTCTGAAATGCTTACTTTGTTACAAAAAACAGACCATTACAACTACAACCTATCTGCTTGATAATTAAAAGTTAAACTAATTCTAGCACGCTTCGGCAGTTACTTTGGAGGTTAAAGAAAGTACTGGAATTCCTTGTGTTTTTAGATCAAACATGGTTCAAGACACATATAGCAAATTTTACTATCCATCACTGAACTTCAATGATAGCTTCCTCCAGATGAACACCCAAGGTGGCAAAAACTAATTCAAGTGCAGAATATGTGGCGAGTTGGAAGTAATCTGCCCCAGAAGGCTAGCACATTATGCACAGCATTTCAAATAAACAAGATACTAGGGGGATGTAATTAAGAACCTGCAGCCTCTGCAGATATTCAGACCATGAATTCAGAGCATGGATGTACATGATACCAACTGTTTGGTGCCTATATTCACAATCACACCGACCAAAGCAATAACCTAACCACTGAGTTTTAGCAAAACTAAAGAAGATGTACAAAGAAGGAAGAAACACCAACTAGCTGCTAGTGAACCTAGTTGGATGAATACGTATCTACTCCCTCCGTCCCATAATGCAAGACGTTTTTTGACACTACACTTACACTATGGGAGGGAGGGAGTATTTCATTAGTTGAAACAAAGACGGGTCACTATGAATCTGCATATGAGCAAACCAAAATGATGTGTATATCAAACCATAACTGAAAAACAGATTAAGCTAAAGCCAGGTGAATTGACCGCACCAAGAAGACTATTTACCTAAATTTGGGACGGACATCAGACTAATCCTCCAATTATCCACTATGAATTGCAAAACCAGTAGTAGAATATTAGGAATGCACCACCCACATGAAGGAGACCTTACTGTGGCTCATTGTCTCAATGCACCAGCAACTAACTTGAAAACTGAAATTTTAATGCACTACAGAATGGCCTGACCTCACACTTACTTTGTTCCAATAAGTGTGTTTAAAACATGAATGAGGATGAGAAGTTCATAACCAATCAATGGTTTCTTCTCTGCTGAGTGATAGCATTACATACCAGTATTTGGAGATCAAATTATCAATTCCATCACACGTTAGCAATGACCAACCCAGCATCTAACAGTCATACAACATCAGACAACCAGCACCCAATTACATCATAGCCCGTCTTTATGTGAATCTGAAATTAGTCGGCACATCCCCCTTGCAAGCGGCATCATAGTCTTCTGCCAGGTGCAGTGCAGCCTCCTTGTGAGGGAATATGAACTTCTTCCTGAATGCCTTCTCACTAATCTTGAAAACGGTACTGTAGCTTGGGTCACGCTTGAGCAATCCATTTTCCTTGAGAAACTTCACAGCATAGTACCTGGGCCTGAGCCGGCCCTCTAGGCTGTGACCGATTATTTCCGACCGTTGAGCAATGTACAGCGGTTCCAAGCCCACCTCGGAGATGAGGAACTCAGACCTGCGCTGCAGCGACTCCTTGGACCTCGCCAGCACCGATGGAGCCTTAGAAACAGCCATGCCTACCTCAGCATCCGTCCACCTGAAGGTGTTCTTCAAGTAGTTCACCCTGGCTGCGATCTTGTCCTCGCTGAGAAATGCAACAGCGTGCAGCGCGTGCCTGAACATCCCAGAGGCACGGGGCACACCTATGTTTTCAGCGCATTCCACCATCGCCTGGACACGCCCCAGGTTGGCGGTGAGAAGCCATGGTTGCCTGCTGCATAGCTTGGCAATATCACAAGCACCTAGGCCGCACTCCCGCAGATAAGCGACAAACATCAAAACATCAACACCAAGGTGTTCATGCAAATTGGAGGTTGGAAACACAAATATATTCATGTACTCTCATTTTGAGGGATTGGAGGTGATGCTTTCATGTCTACTTAATGACAAACATCATAACATCAACACCAAGGTGTTCATGAATTAAACTATCAATTCATTAGGTATTAGCAACGACCAAACCAGCATGTGGAAGACATAGTACAGCAGAAAACTAATATCTGTTTAGGCAGAAGCAGAATACACTAATGTGAATTGCCAGCTTACTAAGAATAGTGAAAAGTCTGTCATGACATACACAGTTACCAATTTCCATAGCCCTTCCTTGCTTCATGTAAATCTGAATCTAGCCGGCAATTTCCCTCTGCAAGCCGCTACATAATCTTCAGCAAGGTATGGTGCAGCGTCCTTGTGAGGGCATATGAACTTCTCCATGAATACCTTCTCAGTCATCTTAACTGCATAATAGTAATCTCGACCATGATCTAGCAATCCATTTTCCTTAAGAAAAGTTACAACGTAGTATCGGGGCCTTAGCCTCCCCTCCAGGCTGTACGCGAGCATTAGCGGGTGATGAGCAATGTATGCCGGTTCCAACCCCAAATCAGAGATCAGGAACTCTGACCTTCTCTGCAGAAACTCCTTAGTCCTATTCAGCACCGTTGGATACTTAGAAACAGCCATGCCTACCTCAGCATCCGTCCACCTGAAGGTGTTCTTCAAGTACTTCACCCTGGCTGCGATCTTGTCCTCGCTGAGAAATGCAACAGCGTGCAGCGCATGCCTGAACATCCTAAAGGCACGGGGCACACCTATGTTTTCAGCGCATTCCACCATCGCCTGGACACGCTCGGGGTTGGCGGCGAGAAGCCATGGTTGACTGATGCATAGCTTGGCAATATCACAGGCACCTAGCCCGCACTCCCGCAGCAACGCGACGTTGGGCTTGACCACATCATCGAGGTCAGCCGAGTGAAGGTAGAAGTTCCTCTTGAGGGCTCGGAGGAGATTCTCAAAGGACCCAAAAAGAGGCATGTAGTACTGCAGCTTGGAGACGATGGATCTATAGCGGAAGCTGTAACGGGAGAGCGAGGCGAGGCGTGCGATATCGGAACGCGATATCGGAACGCGATAAGCCGAGGCCGGTGAGCCCGACGATGACGGGGGCCAGGGTTCTCTCGACGCCGGCGCAGAGGAACTTGGGGTCCTTGGCAACGAGAGCTGCGACATCGGCGTCGGAGAGGCCGAGGCCGGCGAGGAAGGCGAGCACGGCGTCGGGATTGGCGGGGGACTTGAGGTGGGAGAGCTTGGCGGAGGCCTTGAGGGCCTGGGGTCGGGTGAGGCCGCAGGTGGAGACGAGGTACTCCTCCACGGCGAAGCTAGGGTTTGGGGAGATGGCGGGCGCGGCGGCGGAGATGAGGCGGTGGAGAGGGGATACGGGAGAGGCGGAGAGAGACGAGAGGACCTGGGCGAGGACGCCGCGACGGAGCCGGAGCATGGCGGCGCCGGCGGCGAGGGGATGGTGCGAGACGGAGAGAGTGGTGAGGGTTCGCGTTGGTGCTGCGGTGTTGCTCCACCGTTGAGGAGCCTTAGATAGTTAGATGGGCTGGGCTGGGCCGAGTCTATACTACTTATAAAAGAGCAAACATTATCTTCTCTAAGTGCACCCCACAAAACGTACACGGATACATTACCACCGCATGATTAGTCTCATTAAACTCAATCTAACGGCTAGCCTTAACCGAATCTGTTCTCTGTGTGCACTTAGCAATTTACATTGACTGACCGTACTCCACCGCGGAGGAAAATATGAAAGTCCATGCCTGGTCAATTAGAAAACTATAATCACGGACACATCCTATTAAGAAACTAATCACAGGCACATCTAATTATTAGGAAACTAATCAAAAACCCATCCTATTATTAGGAAAAAAATCACGCGTGCATCCTATTATTAGGAAAATAATTACGAGCCATCCTATTAGGAAATTAATCACGGACGCATCTAATTATTGGGAAACAAATCATGGCTGCATCATATTAGATAACCAATCACGAGCGCATCTAATTATTAGGAAACTAATCACGAGCGCATCCTATCGTCTCCTATCAGGGAATCGTGATCGCGAGTCGCGAGCCATCACCAGCCCACCACCCACGCGAGCCACAATGGGAGACACGCGAGGAGGAGCTGCGGCTTCCTTCGAACACACTTCTACTGACTGCAACGACTTCGTCCACATCCTGGGCATGCTCTCCGGGAACCACCGGCATCCGCGTCGACTTCGGCTCCATCCACAACACTCACGTTGACAACCACCCACCGTCGAGGTCCTTCAAGTGGGGGCAATGCTGAGCATCTCGGACCAGTATAAGCGGGCCAAAAAAATCTGCCCCCACAACCATGCATGTAGATTCGCCTGGTCGCCAACCATTATCGTCCCCAGGGCGGTGCAGGTCTCGGCCACTGTGAAGCAGGTGAAGCTAATCACGGTCCCATCTCACTCGCCCGAAGCCACCGCTGACTCCCTCAGCTCTGACGCGTGCTGCTCCGTTGGACACGCTTGTCCGGTACTCGCGCGTGGGCGACATCGTCCAAAGCTAATCCCGGTGCGTGGAGGCCGCCGCCTCAAAGCTGGACGACTAACTCACCTGCGTCGACAGTGCCGCCCAGCTGGTGAGAGGACACGGTCGCCGCGGCCGCTCGCACGCCTAAACGACGGAGACTCTCGCCTTCACGCGAACGCACCACACACACGCATTAATCAAGTAAGTATCAAGTGTTGTTTTTTTACTGTCATCGCTACCTCGCCGGTGGTGACACATCTAGAAGTACAGGAACTAGAGATGAGGCAATGAGAAACAGAGGAGCGTTGGAGCACACACAGAGACGTTCGCCTTCTTTCTTTCTTTATTTTTTCACTGATTTTCACGTACCTGCAACAGACATCCTTGTTTTTTTAAGTACTGACTACCGGTTATTACATGGTCAACTCACGACTACATAGTGAACTCACAGACAAATTCGCTGAACCAAGACCTTACTTGCAGTCATGAAATTACGTTTCACTGAAAAAACTCAGAAGTTTGCATAAGTTTTAATGAAAAAAAACTAAAGTTCGCATAAGTTTTACTAAAAAAACCTGAAGTTTGCATAAGTGTATTTGTTTGTCCAGCAGATACATGGCAACTGTAATTTTACATGAGCATTTTCATACCATCCTTATCTACAGTTGAGCTAACATGTTTTCCTGATAGAAAACTTGGACTACATACAAGAGAAGCAAAACCTGCATGTTGATTATGATGATGATGAATGTAGGATATTTTGTGGTCATGGTAAATTTCATATCATTTAGTACATAAATAATATTCACAATTTTATTTTATTACCATCAATTGTGTTGAGTTTCTTTCATATATGTGTATTGACCCTCTTCTTTAAATTAGATGTGACAGATGCGGAATGAACTCATACCACATGATCGCATACGAGCAATTCAAGAGGAATTGGCGGGATTCTTTCTTGACCATGTCATATATAAAGACGGAGAATGCCATATGGAAGTTGAAATCGATTTTAGATGTTAGGGATTATAAGAGATGTTATATTGTATATATGTAGTAGTGTCGGATAGATATATACAGAAACTTGTTGTTCGATCAATCTCGGAGAAAGAGAGGTCACTTTTTTCTGTATATGTTCATGACGATTTTGTGTAATTCTTGACTGGAATTTGTTGACACTGAAACGGTTCCTTAGTTTGTCCTAAGTGGCATTTTTATGTGTGACTATACTTGCATAAATGTGTGCATATGAAGAATCATGATGAATCTTTAAAATAATTTTAAATTTTATACATTGAGAAAAGTGGGTGGTCTTTTAAATCAGGAGACATGTTGATTACGAAGAAACGATATTTCAAATTATTTGTACGAGTTGGAAATAAGAGATCGTGTATTTTATAGGGAAATTTCAAATTTATGAATAAATTGTCTTGTATTAAGTTTAGTATAATATGTTAATCCAAATAGATGCGTATTGCGTGTGCACACTTATTAGTTCAAATAGACGTGCGTTGCACGTGCACACTTACTATTAGGCTAAAGAGACACATTTGGATCCGCTCAAATGCCCTAAACAAAAAAAAAAGAACCACCCCGGGAAAACAACTCAACCAAGTGCCAAGCAGCGGCTGTTCCCGATGATTGATTCATTATCACACGAAGCATTTGTTAAGCTTTTGGTCACTTATGGGCCATATGATGGACGCGGAGGAAAGTGGTACACAAAGAGGTTTTTCAAAGTCCTTCGGCCACTCACGAGTTTATTAAAATATTCATATCAAAACTAAAGATGACAACAGAGAAGGAGACAAGAAGCGCCGGCTGAGATTAGAAGAACAACAAGGACACATTTGGGCTAATTTTGAACTTCTTAATTTGGCTCTCCTAGCTAAACATGCATGGCGTATTTTTCAATCCAGAATCAACAAGTGCAAGAATTTTAAAAGCTGTATATTTTCCTATGTGCTCTGTTTTGATTGCAAAATTGGGTAATTATCCAAGCCAGATTACGGAAAAATCCATGTCGATGCAAGCGTGGCAAAGTCTAAGTTGAGAGGAGAGGCATCTGCAATGTGTAGAGATGATGATGGACAATATTTGGGCAACTCCTCTCTGGTTATCCGAGGAATCATCGATGTAGTCACACTCGAGGCGATGGCATGCAGAGAAGTTTTGGCTCTGGCAGAATACTTGATGATTCAAAATGTTATAATTGCCTCCGATTCAAAGCAGGTGGTGAATGGCATTGAAAGAGGGTCTAGTAGCACTTATAGTTGTATCATTAGCGAGATTAAGCAGCGAGCTAGTTTAATTAATTATAGGTTTATTTTTGAAGGTGGACATCAAACACCGATGCAGATAGTTTGGTTAAGTTTTCAAACACTCTTAATTAGGGGTGACATCTATGGTTCATCCATCCCCATGATGTTTTTTGTATACCACTTCATGTGAACTATGATCAATAAAGCATAGCTATACTTCTTCTAAAAAAAGGGAAAACAAAGTGACTTCTTCTAAAAAAAGGGAAAACAAAGACTCATTTAGATGATCTTGCAAGCCCTCTGAAAGAAAATCAAGATGATCTTGAGTTTCTAAAAAGGGTCTTAGATGATGTTTAAGAAAAAAAATTGATGATCATGTGTTTCTAAAGAAGAACCTTACATGATTGATCTTTTCTCCTACAAAAGCATGTTTTTTTCTTTCTCGTTGTGATTTCAAAAACATAAAAGGACCCTAATCACATGTCGTACCAGACGGAGATTGAGGGTCGATGTGGCCACAAAGTGGTAGGGATGCAAGCATCAAAGCCATATTTGAAACATGGTTTATACCTAGTTGTTACTAGTATGTATGGCGTGCGACATTTTTTCGGCGTCACTCTTCCAGCGGTCGTATGAAGATTTTAGAATGTGTTTTCGCAGCAAGGTCGACCCAATTGTGAATTTCATGCAATCAATGTCCAGTAGTAGTTCCACCCATTGTGTCAACTGATAACATCCTGTCATGTTGCGTCTCTGATTACCATTTTTTTTAGAAGTTCAAACTCGAGAACCAAGATCTGAAACAAATCATTTAGCAGACATATATTAACATGGAGTGGTATTCTGAATGTGAGAATGCAGATGCTGCCACAATGCCAGGGCAGGAACAAAGAAGCAACCAACCAAAATACTCCCTCCGTCCGAAAATACTTGTGGGAAAAATAGATGTATCTAGACGTATTTTAGTTCTAGATGCATCCATTTTTACCTATTTATGTGACGAGTAATTTTGGACGGAGGGAGTATATATCTTTTTCAGGGAAGTGGTGGTGGACAATCAGACCTCAGCTCAAGCAGCAGCTGCAAAGAATCTACCACATGAACCTGCTCATTCAGATTCTGGTTTATATCTTTGACTGGGAAAATAACGCGTGCATATGCGACCAAGACCAAAAGAATGTATACTCTAGTTACATACCATCGTACAAGATTTTTGTAATGTACAAAGGAAGAACAATTTACGGAAATCACGACACATCTATCTATCTAGTATATATACTTGCAACAATGAAGGCAAGGTGCCGACAGTAGATAGAGTACCACCTCTGAATTATGCCCGGAAATTAGAACAGTTATCTCTATGGAGAACAGATGAAAATGATTAAATCATGGAAGAGAGAT